GAGATACCCTCACCTCCCCCTTTGACCAGAGCTCTTTTTAACGTATCTACGGATCTTTCTGCTTGGCCATTCGACTGAGGATGGTACGGAGGAGATTGTATGGATTATTTGCTAGTTTCGGGGTTCCAGAGATCTTAGTGACCGACAACGGTACTCAGTTTATGTCATCTGTTTTCAAACGCTTTTTCAGTGAAAATGGTATATCGCCTCTTACAGCTACCTCGAGTTCACCGGTGGTCCGTCGTCACAGTACTGGAGTGTTGTTCTCTGATTAACAGGTACATCTTTTTCTTGTCATTGGTTACAACTTTGCGTTCTTTATCAGTATGCCTACTTCATGTATTGTAGATTGATTTATTTTATGTTTCTGAGCAACCCTGTGAACTGCCTAGCTTGGTGTTGCTGTTCATCAAGTTAAACACGCGCAATAGATATCTGCAGTTTTTGTCATTAGAATCGAACCCAGTAAAACTGTTACTTTTTTCTGACATATGGGAAGGAACAAATATATAACGTTTGGCTGGAAGAAATACGGAATATAAAAGGTATCACTCCGGAGTACAAAATTAAGTACTGAAACACAATTAATTGCTGTGGTCAGTCGAAGAACATAAAAAGAGTGATTGTGTGAAGACCGAAATTCCAGTATTTGGTCTGAATGCATAGCAAACGAATCAGAGTTTATCCCATTAGGCCGGGATATGTTCTTCGGTAATAACGTACGAAGCGTTTTTGAGTGACTCGCAATGAAGTATATCAAAATACAAACTATATGCTTAATCTAAGCTTCTATAAATAAGGAAAAACACAAATTATATCAATATTCAAAATACCCCAAACAGTACAACCTGTACTACAAATCATAGATTTCTGTAGCACAAAATAACGTGCGAAACAGCAAAAGAAATAGTTAATCTGTAAATACTCGCTATCTGAGTCCACAAAACTCAATGAGAACAATCGTACCTGGCAGACGGTTACAGGTCAACAATCACCAACGAAATCACGCCGTAACCCTGAGTTTAGCAAAACATGGCTCCATCGTCAGTGACCCAGCAACACCCAGCAGTAAATTTAATTGAGAAAGATTATTACTTAACCAAAGTCAAACTATAAAAGCCTGGACAAGAGACCTCGGCGAAGTTTAGACCACAAGACCGGGAAAAAGAATCTGGAAATATCAACGACTTTCTGCCGAACATTCTGGAGGAATTTTCAGCGTATTCTTTCTGTTACGGTGAGTGGAAAGTTCACTTCGATACGTCCATGTGCAAATATTTGAGAAATCTGTCTATGTATGCTTTTCCGGGCGAATATTAACTTGTCGTTCTACCGTATTTACTACTGCTCCTATTGTAATCTGAATTAAAATTGACTGTTTTGTGTTTAGGAGTTTTATTTAGATCAGTAGCAAGGAAGTTTTTAGGGCGAAAGGAAAGAAAAATGTTTTCTATAAATACTATTCTTATTAGCATGGGATTTGTTATTTGAAAGGTGGGTAGTAGATAAAGAAAACTTTCCAGCAGAAACTACTGTTTTGTTCGCCAAATATCAACATTTTCCCTCTTCCTCGCTAACGTCGTACTCTTTTTTCCAGCAGGTGTACGTTACCATGCTTTCAAGCATCTAATGAGTTCATGTTTTGAGGTTGGAACACTGTCTGTAACACACAGAAAATATTTTCCAACAATTTCTTCGTCATGCTTATACGAGATTCGTAGATCAGGATTTTGTGAAATATCAAGGGTAATGTAGTAGACATCCACTGGTTCTTTAAGCGCCTACGCAGTCACAGTTTTTGTTGTAATGTGCTCTTTGAACCATATGAATTACTGTAAGTTAGGGTTTACTTAAACGAGTCTAACTTTGTGCTCACTTTTATTCAGGGGTGAGAAACAACTTTGTATTATTTCCTCTTAACAATCTGCACAGACATTTTGAACTGTTTTATGGTAATGATAATTAGTTTCTAAAGATGTACTTTGTAAACGCCTTGACCAAAGTTGTGTTGACCGTTTCAAAAACAATCAACTGGAATGAAACATCTCTTTCTCAAACTGATAAGAGGGCTATATTATTATGCTGGAAGCCTTGCAGATGACTTGCTGCAACACTAAAAGTATCATTTTTAATGACATTTTATGCATCTTACCAATAATATATAAAAATCGAAATCGATGCGTTATTTGTAATGAGCAGACTAATTTTTAAAGACGGAAAACTGGATATTTGGCAGGCATCGTCTACATCCTTTATATGGATAAAAGTGTTTTGTTTATTCAACAAGTTCCTTCCTCAACAAATATACTGTTGTATGTAGTCCGAAACGTGGCATCAACAATCAAAACGATAAATTGTGTCGCATATGTATTAGATGCTCCTTTGTACTAATATTTGTGTTCAAGTAAATAACAAGTAATGTTCGTAGGGATATTCTCCTCTTTGGCTTCAACATACTTAACACTAACTGGATGAACTTCCCACTTGACATTGATATTTTGACGGTAACTTGCTCTGGATTAAAGTTTAGTGTAAACGCTTACATTATCACAGAATCGGAGCGTTCTAACTCCAAATCATAATTATGACCACTATAACTCACTTTCACACATCATTGTAATGATATTACAGATCTTAAAATGTGACATCCCGCTACAAACAACGATCATGCGGAAAGTAACATTTTTGGGACTTTTTGTTCACTCAAGGTTTTGGAGTTTCGGGTTCTGAACGTCATAAGGTCAGGAACCTATGCAAAACAACCATCTCATGATCTATCAACAACAAGAAAAAACTCAGGACGATAGTAATGTCTTTTTCAAACGACAGTTTTTATGTATTAAAAGCAGAAAGTGATGCGTTCCTCTCACTACATCTATATGAAGACTCAGACATATTAAATGGAGTAGGTGTAGACATTTCTCATAGGGATAATATGCATGTATCCTTCCAAGTCTCAACTCTCGGAGGGTCGGGAGGAAGTAGAAGGCTCGCCTGACTGTAGACTTGGTTGTCTATCTAGTATAAAAGTTAAAAGACTGGAAATTTTATTCTGGATAGTTTGCCTGGATGCACTGAATCAGGTAATCTTTTGACTCCCAAACAGCAAGATTTTTCCAATGAATTTTTGTGCCAAACTAATCCATTAGTGGCAGGAGCAGACTTGGTGATAGGTCGAGATATAGGTTTGCTTATGAATAAAAAATATATGTATATGTTTCAACAGTGGAGTTGTTATGGTGTTTCACCTGAGACACATTCAGATTTCCAAGTTGTACGGTGAACGTCTGTCGCGGGCTGAAACCGTAGCGTGAGAGTTAGTGAAACTTTGTCTGTACGGAAGCTCGTAAACGGTGACCCATCGCAGGGTACTACCTTAAGTCACACATGTTTCTTACTTTACGTTAACGGATTGTTGATCGCGCATATATTATCATTACTCTTTTTCGTAAATAACGTTGCATGTGAAGGGTTGTATACAGCGACCTTGATAGGCTAAGGACCCAAACCAATCTATTTGAAATAGTCTGATGGTCAAGAAGTTGATGCCTAAAAGTTAAACCTGTAGCAGTAAATAAATTCCAAAAGTAAACATTTCTCCAATTTCTAGGACGAGAAGTGACTAAAGATGCCATAAGTATTCGGAGTTTGACAACTCTTTAACCATTTACACCTTTTATAAACGGAATATGACAACTTGGTAAAGTCGGAGGTTAGAAGCGAAGGGGTTCGAAGATATATTTGATATAGTGTCGATATATCGAGAAGTAAATAATCTAAATTGACTTGTAGAGTGGCGTCGAGTTGAGGTTAACTATGAACACCGCTACAGAGAAACCCGTGCCAAGTATTTCAGAAGGCGAAGGTTGAAAGTAACCAAATGAATCCATAAAATCCGCGAGAAGCCAAATATCAGAAGACAGTTAATGGACCAAATCGAGATATATTCGCTGGCGATCTCGTGGCATCCAAAGGATACCGAGATCGTGCCAGGATAGAAGCTTGGTTACAGAACGTAACCGAATTCGCGCGCAGTTACAATCAAAGTGTGTGTATAAGAATGGAAGCACAAAATAGCTGTCATTAGCACAGTCAAACAGAAACACGTTAAAACAAACACTGGTACAGTTGGTTATAATAATAATTGTTTTTATTAAACCAGTCGTGTTCTCGTGATAAATGTGAGTCACTAAAGACTACCCGTAGGTGACACGTAGCATGGCGTGCCCAATTATGATCCGATTCAAATACATGAACGAGTGCCTTCAGCTAGGTGAGTTCCTAAAAACTTGTAGTTGGTGTCGTGTCGCGGTTGACTATGATCACCACTACAGGAAGACCACGTGTCAGTTACCAGGTTAGACACCTCTGTAGGCCAAATATCAGAAAGCACTTAAAGGTCATAGTTAAGATGTATTTGTTGGGGATCTCGTGGTATCGAAATAATACCGAGATCGTACCAAAATCCACAAGCGAGACTACTGAGCGTACGAGAGTTCGTGCAAGTTCACAAACAACGGAAGTGCTTTTTGGTACACTTAAGCGGACAGGTACAGTAAAAAAATCACTGGTACAGTTGGCTGTGATAATAATTGTTTCCATTATGCCAATCGCATCCTTTATACTAAGGCGATCATTAACAAATATCGAAGACTTACAGAGCTATTGATCCTGGGAATTTATTTACCGCTACATTATCTTTATTTAGATATCGCATATCTTATTTAAGTATATCCACCCAATAGAAACTATTTTTTGCACATGCAAGACTAAAAATCTCGACTGAACAAATCAGTTATTAGATTTCATTTTTCTCATCAAGCGGTCGACGACACGAACACTGTACCCAAACAAATTTTGCCAATCTTACGTTTGAGCAGGCACAGGATTTTTGATAAAAAACATCTCTCAGAAATCATCACAGTTTAGTTTGGCTACTGTCCTTATTACCGATGACTAACGATTGGTTGAATGTTTTATGGAAGATTGAAGAGCAATTCGTTACCAGCTTTTGAATGTGTGAGCTACTTGGTAGGTTTGTACAATATGTTCTTATTTCAGGCATATTGCGGTCAGTATACATGTTTTATGAACAGTGGGTAGCTAAAAATTCATATTGTCTTTTGCCACTGTAATATACGACTGTTGTGAATCAAGGTATCTTAATAACGGACGATATGTTAAATAACCGATTGTGAACTTTCCAGAGTTGCCATTTTCATGAAAATTTAAAGGAGACCCTACTTGGAATTTTTCGAAAGCTTTGGGCTACTAAAACTGAGGTCACTTGCTTTTGGGTTGGGATACTTCCTGGTATGCAGAAACGTTCCCATTTTCCTTTATAAATCCATAGGATTTCCGCAGTTAGAATTATATTTTCGCTAGCTCCACAGTCATATGATAATTGTCCACTCCTCTCTTTAGAAATTTTAAGGTTTATTCAGTAGTGCTGGTTTATACCCTTACCTACTCGATATTCAATTATTTGATAATTGACAAATACCCACGAATAAGTAGACAATCTTGAAAAGAAGAAATATATTATGGTGACCGATAAGTTTCATCGATGTGTCAGAACTTAATTTTTCTGAATAATTCGGTATATTACATCAAAATTGTGTACCACGACAATCAGGATAATGAGGAAAGATTATTGACAATTTATATTTAATTACACTGAATTACGTATTCAGACAACATGAAAAAGTTCAGACCTCGCATTTATAGGTGATAGTTATACAGCAACATTGGTTGATTTGTTTGTTACAATTTGTAGTAGTCACGGTACTCTGAATAAAGTGCAAAATCATAATTTATGACTAAACAATATAAATTCGAAAATTACCAATATAATGTGCAAAAGTGGTGCAAATTGGAAAAATGTGTAGTGTAATGAAGCATACTAAGCTTTTTAATTCACTTCATAGAACGTTGCCTCGATGAACGGTGTACACAATCAGACAAAAATGTGAACAAAGTACACTTTTGATGACAGAGTTCATTTGGCAAGCATCATTATAAATTTACTAAAATTGCAAAAGTCAAAGATTTGTATGCAACAGTTTATTTTTTTGTCAGTAATGTTTACATATGCTACTCAATTTAGTTTAGGGTGGTTGGAAAGGAAAAATAAACAATGATTGGTAATTTAAAGATTAGTCCAATTGATGAATTTGGATAATGCAGCACACAGTTTATCAGAATTAATTTAGGCAGTGGTAAAATACAGTGCAACAATTTTGAACATAACTTGTTAAGAGGCGCATATATTTAAGGATAAAATGTTAACTAGATAGATTGGGAAATTTATTCAGTTATTTGAACACAAACATTGGTAAAAGGGGGCACCAAATACATATACACCATACAATAACAATGAAAATTTTAAGAATTGGAGAATGAAGGGACAGTGTTCCAGCCCTCACACAAACTGAAAGATGAAATGTAGCACATATATATTTGATACCTTTTTGTAGCAATGTTTGTGTGTTTAAATAAATAAAAATCAATAAATGAAACATAACGACGGTTTGCATGATATTTGGGTTTTGGTGAACTATGAACTTTGATTTTTCACTAATGATAAACTTGTCCGCTTCGAAAGTTATAATAGTTACTTATTGAAATCTTCCTTTTAGCACAAAACCATTTGCGTCGGTTTCAGTCAATCAGCTACAACGTAGGACCACGCACATGTATGCATCAGTTCAAGTTAACATACCTCATTAACACAACAAGATGAACATCAGCTTCTTAGTGGTTACTTCAGTGTTATTAATATATAAAAGAAAGATTGCATTTAAGAATATAATACAGAAGGAATTAGTTCGTAGAAAGAAAGGTATAAGGTAATTTTAATCTCACGGTTTAGGTGAAGACAAAGAGTGTATACACCTACACGATTGTGATGGATTCTGAGCCATGTCACACAGAGTCTCCAACCATTGGTTACGATAGTCACGCGGACCCCAACCAAGTAGTCTGCACCTACCAACATGGTCCGGATCAGGAGTTAGTGACCTCAAGAAGTGATGCCACGTTTTCGTTTGGCCTCCCCAGTCAGCATTGTGCGTCGTGGTAATCGCTGTTCAGGAACACGTAATACGTGACCCAACCACCTCAGTCGATGAAGATTCACAACCTCATCAACTGATTTACCACCATTCCATAATACTCTACATCTAACCTCACTATTACTTACTCGGTGATCCCAGCAGATGCTGGCAGTATTTCTAAGACATTTGTGGTCAAATACTAGTAGCTTGCAAATATCTTCTACTCTTAATGGCCTCGTTCCACAGACGCAGCTGTTCCCCTCTACCATGAGGACAGTTTCTACCGTATTACAAATTCCATGATCTTGAAAATCATGCCTCCCGAGTTAAGTGCAAGGATATCTTGTATTTATTTCGAATATTGTGATTGACTAGTTGGACGAGACGAAATCAACGCTAAACCATACCAATTAATATCCCTAGTCGGCCAGACTAGTGAGCTAGTTAATATCCATAATGACCTACAAAGATAACCCTCTATCACTGGCTTTTCTTTTTTGCTTGAAATCATTCTTAACATTCCTCTCTTCTATGGCAACTGAAGGGCTGCTATCGATATGTCATTTACTTAATTAAGAAAAGTTGATAAGCCGGTTGATGAGACGGAGACTTGTCATCTAATGAAGTAGTTAGGTATTTCACGTATTCTCGACCATTTCCGAACTTAACATGTAATGTTGGCTGGGATAGGGAAAAGTTCGTGTTATGTCTTGTGGTTTTGTGCCGTATTATTGTATAACGTAATGATACCCTCAATTAGAGAACAGTAATTTGTCGACCGGACCAATGATGCATAAAACCCATGCGAGCAGTCTAGAGTCTTTACCGGTCCTTCTACTTGTGTTCATTGCCAAAAATGATGAATATCAAATGCTAATTTTAGCATTGTTATTGTTTTAGATGACGGTGTATAACTTATATATATATGGAAAAAATGGTGATAACCTATTTTACCGTGAATGGACTCCAACAAAGCAAGGTGAATGTCCATCTGATAACGACTTGAAGTTGATGCGTGGTATGTTAATTGGTCTAAAAGGATTTTGTCAAAAAATTTCACCGTTGGACTACGAAATTAATCGGTTTTCTTACGTTACTAACACATATCGTCTTCATTTTTACGAAACCCCTACACTAATGAAAATTGTTCTTACCACTGACAACTCTTGTGCACCAATGAATGATGAACTTGAAGGGATATTTCAAATATATACAAAATACGTTTCACAAAACCCGTTAATTAAATCCGAAGGACCTATTAAAAGTCAGGTCTTTTCTGAAAAACTTGATCAATATGTTCAGAGTTTGCCTGTATTTAACAAATAAATAACTTTTTTCCAGTTCTTTCATTTTAGCTATTTTCACTTTTTCTGTTTCCGTTAAATCAATGATTTACTTCTTACAGGTTGTAATAGTGTTGTGATTGTAAAAGAGGGTTTAGCCACACAATGTTTACAGCTCTACGTACAAATCCATCAGATGGAGAAGTCATAGTAACTGACACATTAAATGCACCTGTTTCCACATGTATTACAAATGTTATCCCGAATTCTATCATATCAAGTGGAGTTGGCGAGGAGGATAACTATTTAACAGGTCATTTAATGGGTGAATACACTGGTCCAGTTGAATCCGTTTTACCTCGAGAATTCAGGCAAAGACTTCATAAACATTTTGCTAGAATCGAACGTGAATTTGAACGAGAGTATAGAAGGTTGTATAGCGAAAACTTAGCATGTATGTAAACCAGTTTTATCTTTAATTTCACACGTAGTGTTCCATTTTTTTCATCAATTATTCTTTGAACATATTTCATAGTGCCCCAGAGATAACATGAAATCTAGTAGTAACGTTTTGATTATTAGTATTTAGAAGTGAGACAACTTATCATTTTTAAGCTCTGAACGATTATCTAAGTTGATAATCTAGGTAAATTTTTATTGAATTGGCAAGTTTATTACGGGGATGATGGATATTTATTAATAATCAAGTCAATTAATATCGTTACTGACGGGCGGTTGTCAAGATTGAAATTATTTCTTGGTCGAAATAATCATATTTGAACGTTTCTACAAAGTAATCTTCAGAAACTAAGACCATTACCAGATAGGTTTATTTCTGCAAAAAAATAAACATTTGTATAAATCATACCTTTTTAATCTTCGATATATCTAAGTGAATAACATTTATAAAATTAATTATGAAAGAATTCCAACTTTTCTCACATACCATCTACACATATATTGAATTACTTCAGTTGCTAATAATAGAAGTCGTTTAGTGTTATGCTGTATATCCCTTCCCATGAATTTTAGTTGCATAGTAATACAAAATAGATTTATATGTTGCACCCAATTCCTGATTTGTACTCGTACTAATTAAGATTCCTTTGTTTGTTCAAATATCTTTTGGATCACCAATCTTCTAGAGCTAATATGCAACTCCGGCTAGTATTATTATCATTATTATTTGATCGCAAACATTGGTACAAGGGGGCACCAAATATATATGCGCCACACAAAACAATGAGAGTGGGAAGAGAAAAAAGAGGAAGGTAAGGAGCGTAAAAGAAAGAAAAGAACAATAACGACCAGATTGGTGTAAGGCAGTGTAATAATAATAATAATAATAATAATAATAATAATAATAATAATAATAATAATAATAATAATAATAATGGGGGAAACGGAAGGGTACAACCAGAAGAAATCTTTCAGCTAAAGAAGATGCAACCACTTTTCTATGAAGAAAGTAAAAGAACGTTACAGCAGGATCACCACTGGTTTTTATTCTGAGCCATATCTGATAACGTCTCTAGCCACTGTGTCGCACCATCTCTTGACCCCAGCCTGGGAGTCGTGAAGGACCAACAGAAGCCAGCCCGTTGCAGCTTTCTTTCATACCCCGACACCGTGTCATACATTGACCACCTCTCCGCTTTTTACAACCAGTCCCAGCGTCAACAAATAATGCACGATGTGGAATTCTCTCGGACGACATTCGTAGAACATGTCCAAGACACCGAAGTCGATGTTTCAAGATGGTGACACCAAGTGGATTATCGTCTCTGCTCCCGAACACACGATGCTGAACCTCTGCATTACTGACATGGTGTTGCCACTGGGTGTCAGCAATCCTTCGGAGACAACGAGGACCAAACACAGAGAGTCGTCTAACATCCTCAACTCGGAGAGGCCAGGTTTCACAAGCATAGAGCAAAACTGCTCTCACCGACGCATTGTAGATCCGACCTTTTACAGCCAGACTAACATCATGAAGGCGCCAAAGATGGCCCAGATTGGCATAGGCCGCTTTGGCTTTCACTATATGTGTATTGATCTCATCATTCACGCCACCACCAGCACTTATGGAGCTATCTAGATACCCGAACTTCTCGTCTACTTCTATATGCTCACTGGCTAGTAGAGTGGTCAGCACAATCATCGAAAACCATGTTGTTAGATTAGGTATGGGTGTGAACCCTATTGTCATATTTTTGTTTAGTGTTTGTAAATTGCTACTTTTTGTAACAACACTTAAAAGAAAAGGGTAAGAGTAGTCAATAAAGACAAGAGGATGTTAAATTTAATAAATCGGGCTTAAGTCAATAAACCGGATATTATTAAGAGGGATTTATGGATTTAAAAACTCGTTCCACATCGTTGTCATTTATCGATCGCTGATTTCAGACTATCTGGACTTCGCCAATCAATGATAGCCTGTGTTTATCTCATATATCAGTTTGTCAACACAAGCTGCTTTTATTCTACTCGAAGTTTGATCGCTATTTTAATCCAAGTTAGATAGTACTTTTACTTGAGTAAAACAACCTAACCGATTTAGGCTGTTTAAAGATCAGCTACCTTATCAATTTTTTTACTTTGTCATCCAGACTTCACCAAGAATTAATAGTACATTCCTTATTTCTGGTGAAAGCGTAGGAACTCGGGTCTTTCTCGATGAGTTAGATTTTTAAAGTAGTAATCGGAAAATAAGTTGGTAATAGTGCTATGGAGTAAGTCCTAACAAATATTTCTACATATATTTGAATTTCTACATAAATGTTTGTAGGATTTGTTTGGCCATTTTTGTAATTAGCTTAAAAATCAACAGATCAGTTTATTATTATTCAAATGATTTCATATTTCTTACACATATTTTCATCTCATTTGAATTGAATTATTCTGAGTGTTGTAAACATTTGTAAAATGTTCATTAATTTTAACTTTTCATCAAATGTTTAAAAACTTAAGTAACATTTAACTTTTTGTCGATTAAATATATTTTTCTTTCTATTCAACAGTGAATATCTTGGTGACTTATTTTTACTCTATTTAATCTTACAGACTTAATTTATTCAGAATGAGATTAAAAAGGGGGAAAGTGATTTTCTTACAGTTTATCTCTTAACTTTTTAAAATCAATTTTGTTTTAGTACTCTATGTTCGGTAGGATTTTTTTTTGGAATTTTACATTTTACAATTTCATAACTAGAAACAGTATTTATTCAAGTTTACTTGTTTAGTACAACTAAGAAAATTTTCATCAAATCAGTTATTATTTTATTAGGATGAATCTGAACACATTTCTCATATATTAACTAATTTTAAATCTTAGCTTTAAAAAAAAATTGTTTCTATGTCTTCCATACATAGTTTTTTGCCTTTATTTTTCTCATTTTTGTTACAATATTAACATACACATATGTATACATAGAAACATATTTTATATAAATATTTAAATATACTTCTTAATTAATGCTATTTATTAAGGCTTACTTTTTTTGTACGTTTTCTACTCTTATTTACTAACTCAATATATTCAGGAGTTCATATTTTATTATGATTATAGCTGAATCGATTTCGATTAAAAATAATTCTGTTGGAACACACTTATTATGTAAATTTTATTTTAAATTTTTAAGTACAAGAACGTTTGGAGAAATTTGAAGACGGTGATCATTCAGAAACAATAACCTTGGTAAAAAAATGTAAGTTTTACATTTTGATAAATTCTCTATAGTTTCATTAGTTTACAAGAGGATACTTTCTTGTACTATGTTGTGTTTATTTTTATCTTTAAAGAAATCCATTGATGAAATAAGAGCCTTCGATTGTTTGCATAAAGTAACACTGACTAACGGACCCGTGATAATAATATTTGACCTGATTTGAATCCGTTACTGAGATAGAAGTAATAAATACAACTAAAGAGTACCGAAAACTGTTCTATATTGTCTGAGTCTCCACAAGCAAGAGTCGTGGTGTCAGTAACACTATGTATAGTTTTGGCGGCAAGCGTAATGTCTGAGGTTTTATGTGGAACACTTTTGAAAACATTCTTGTCTACTAGTTTTCACACCAGCGTCCACCAAACAATCATGTGCTCTATGTTCGGCGAATACTGGCCAACATAAAATTAAACTTACGACGGAATTTCGAAGCACTAAATTTCCTACAAGATACGTGACCTATATGCTCTGGTACGGCCGAGGGTGGAGAGAGTTAGCTCTTCCTCTCGAAATGCTCTCACATGGCCACGCGTATACAGCCACTGCCAGGGAAGTCCTACTCACCGCCTTCTCACGGCGGGGATGTTGTTTACGAAATTGTGAGGACAGAAAGGGAATGTCCGGCGCCTTAACCGGGTTGGTGGACACGGATGGCCCACCTAGGGGAACTGGGAAACCCTGATTCCAAACCAATGGTGTACATGGGCTCCAGTATCCTGAAGGAAAAAATGGCGTATGAACCAAGCGTTGATCACTGGCTACCATGGGACTGCATCTCATTACGTCGTTCCGTTGCTTTGTGAATCAGACCTTTAAGTCAAGGGCTCTGGGTGTGGCCTTTGAGAAAACTACCTGCTTCGGTTTTGGAACCCGGGCAGTATCACAGCCCTCACACAAATCAAGTGACTTGTGTGGCACATATGTATTCGGTGCCCCTTTCTACCAATATTTGTGTTCAAATGAATAAATAAATAACATGACCCAGACAAACACCAGATTTGGGGGTTGAGGGTTACATTCTGATCACACAATAGATCTTGTATGCTTTGTTCTTTCATATATTTTTTTAGAATGTTACATTTTTTCACTTATTAGTAAGTGGGTTTCCTGTATATTAGTAATAAATATAACCATCTATTGAATGTGTTGTTGTCTATAAGCACGGTGGACTGGTTTGTTAAGCTTTCATTGTTCTTCTGATCAACATTGGCATATACTTCAAAGAGAAACGAGCTATTAGAATTTCTCTGTTGATCTGAAAATTTGATTACTTGTTATCTATAACTGAATAATCTTTTCTTGTCTGTTTTTTTAAACTTTTTTCTCTTGTGATCTGAA